CAGCTATGGTTGCTGTTCACCCAGTCAGGAGCCGTTCATTGAGACCCTTCTGGATTGCTGTTTTCTTGTTTCTAGTGTTGTCTCCTTGACCTGTTGGTGAGCCAAGAATCCCTCCCACCCTCTGTTCACAAGGGCCTGACCCTCTGGCTGAGCAATCTCTGGCAGCAGCACGCATGCCTTAAGAGAACCCCTTGCAGCTCTCCTCCCCATGTGTTCTGTGGCTCATGCATTGCCATCAGATGAGCTGTTTGAGGGCTGTGTCTGACCTCTGACCAGAATCAGCCTCCACTTACAGTTAGGGACTTGCTAGCAGGATTTTGAACACATTGCTTCAGTCTGCATGTTTAGCCAAAGGCTTTCTGTCACAACTCTGCTGGGACTAACCTGGTTCATCCTTGCCTTGTGACTGGCATATTGCCCAGCTGGCACTCAGGGCTGGATCAGAAGGTGGTCAGTTGCATTCCTCTCGTAAATTTCATTGCTACCATGACAGCTTCTCTCCAGCTCCTGCCTAATTCTAGAGGCATCATCAGCACAGTAGTACTGAGATTTTTGCTGTCCTGGAGAGGTCATGGTGTGGATTGAGCTGAACCAGACATGCCTAGCCCATTTGGCATCAGAGGCTGTCTCTGCCTCGGGCTCTTGTTGGTGGGCACCACCTGACAGATCAGCTAAAACAGACTACAGTGTGATGGGAACTTTTGTGTTGTCTGTAACAATTTAGAAGTGAGCACAGTTGTTTGATCAGTGAGAGGTCTTGGTGGTTTTCCCTGCTTGGCTTGAGATCTTGAAATGCATTTTCAGGATGCTTTGACCACCGATTTCAAAGTGCAAGCTGACTTTGCCTTTTCTTTGGCACTGAAGGGTAAAATAGTGTTTCTTGAGAGCCAGACTTTATTCCTATCCTTATTTAAACCTTGCACCTTTTGCAGTCTTGTCCTTACTGGTCCATTTGCCTCTCAGCACAGTAGCAGTGTACTCCTGGCTACAATGTCTTTGCTTTAGGTTGTGCACTGAGTGTGTGCCTAGTCTTGATAGAAACATCTTGTCTGCTATATGTGCATGTTCTTTTTGGTTTACCTTCTTTAATCCCAAAGCAGTGGCACCATTCCTTCAAAGCAACCAGTTTGTCTTGGTCTCCATCACACTCGTGGAAGAAACGGGTTATGCAGTGTTCCATGGGAACAAGGGAGGCCCTCAAAGGTGCCAGCTCTGAGTGCGTCAGTAGCCTGAAAGAAAGAGCAGATTTGTAGAGCTGTGCTTGAGTAATAAACGTTTGGGTTAGCAGAGATGGTCTAACCACCTAGGAGATGATACCAGTGGCTTTGTGGCTGTGTGGGGCAGTCATAGCTGGAGGGAAGGGGTGGGACATCCAGAGGGACCTTGGCAGGCTTGAGAGGTGGAACAATGCAAACCTCATGGGTTTCAATAGAATGAAGTGCAAGGTCCTACATCTGGGCCATGGCAATCTCAGGCACAGCTACAGTTGGTTGGGGAAGGAACTGAGAGCAGCAGTGAGGAGAGAGACTTGGGGGTGACGGTAGATGAGAAGCTCAGCATGAGCTGCAGTGTGAGCTCAGCCCAGAAACCAATGTGCCCTCAACATGAGAAGGACATGGAAGTGTTGGAGCAAGTCCAGAGGAGGCAACCAAGTTGCTCAGGGCACTGGAGCATCTCCCCTATGAGGGCAGGCTGAGAGAGTTGGGGCTGTTGAGCCTGGAGAAGAGAAGGTTGTGTGGAGACCTCAGAGCACCTTGCAGGAGCTGAAGGGGCTCCAGGAAAGCTGCAGAGGGTTTCCTCTGCAGGATCTGTGTTAGGAGCTGCAGGGACAGGACAAGGAGCAGTGCTTACAAACTGAAGGAGGGGAAATTTAGGCTAGATATTAGGCCTAGGTTTTCCCTGTGAGGGTGGTGAGGCACTGGCCCAGGTTGCCCAGGGAGGCTGTGGCTGCCCCAAGCCTGGCAGTGTTCACAGCCAGGTTGGATGAGCCTTGAGCAACCTGCTCTGGTGGGAGGTGTCCCTGCCCAGGGCAGGGGTTGGGGCTGGATCATCTCTGAGGTCCATTCCAACCCCTAAAATTCTATGATCAGTCGGAGATGCCCTGGTGGGTTCTGTGATGATGCTTCTGCAGTGAATCTGCCCCAGGTTGTTATGACACCTGATAACTGATAAACTAAAAATGTTTTAGTGGCTATTTGTTTGCTACAATTTTTCCTGGAACAAGTATTACTTGTGTAGTAATTACAAGTATTACAGGTAGTTTCTTGCTCACAGCTCATCAGTTGTGGAGTTTTGCTGTCAGTCCTCAGGAGCTCAAGCTTGCAAAGGTGCTCAGCTATGCTCTAAGACAATAGGTGTGATTCACTTGAGGTATTGAGGGCCTGGAGCTTTGAAATATGAATCCCATCACCAAGTGATACAACCAAGAGCTTGAAATCCAGGTCATGTTCTCAGAAGCTTCCTCTGAACTGTGACACTGGTGCTTTCTTACTTCACCTGGTCCTTAAGCTGAGAGACTTCTGTGGTATGAGTGGAAAGCTACAGATGTCTCACTAGTGAGTTGTTGGTGACAAGTCTCTGTCCTTTGTACTTAGCCTGTTGCCCCTAGCTTCAATAGTGACAGGATTTCTTACCAGCTGAGGACAAAAGTAGCTTTTAAGACACTGTAGACCTTACAGGTTAATACATCATTATACAAGGCAAGAAGATAACAGGTTCTGACCTAAGACATGACCCCAGGAAAGCAACAAGGGCAGAAGTTCTGTGTGAGGGGAATCTTGGCTTCCACCTGCTGAGGAACTGGTCCTACATGTGGAGAATCCTTTGAGTGGCTTTAGAAAATGAAAACCCTCAGGGTTTAAATAGCAAAGAAGAACTGGTCCCACAAGGATTGGTTCTTACCTGTCAACAGGGTGCTGATCGAGCTGATGGAACTGCCAGTGCACAGGATACACATACATGTGGTAGTTCTTCTCAAAGTCGTGCAGGAGCAGCTCAACTGTGTGGTCACCAGCTGTGAGGCGCTTCTCGTTCTCATAGATCTTTTTCACCTGAACACAGGGCAGAAATGGTTACTGATTCGGTTTGGGGGTGAAGATCTGTCCTGAGACTAACTAATCCAGCAAGGAGGTGTTTGGGAGAAATGAAACTTGGTGAAATACCACCGGGGAAATGGGGTTTAGTGCTTCATCTAACCTGGCTGTGAACACTGCCAGGGTTGGGGCAGCCACAGCCTCCCTGGGCAACCTGGGACAGTGTCTCACCACCCTCACAGGGAAAACTTCTGCCTAAGATCTAACCTCAATTTCCCTCTTTCAATGGTCACAAGCACTCAAACTTGCTTCAGCTAGTCCAGATAATCTTTGTTGCTCTCTGTGTCAACTTTGGTAATAGCTGGAAAGGAAGTGAAATTCCTGTGGCTTCTCAGCCTCAGCTGAGGGGGGAATAGCCCCAGCTTGGTAGGAGACTAAATCAGATTTATAACCTATTCTGTCCTGAGGCAGGCAACTCATTTTTTGGTGCAAAATGAGCCATCTCAGTAATCATCTAATTCATGCCATTTAGTATGAGATGTTCTGGGCAGGTCCATTACCCTCTTGATAAGTGACTGAGTAGTTTTTGGTGTTGCTTGAGCATATGTTGTATAAACCTGCTGTTCCCTACTGCATGGAGCTCCTACTCCAGAGTTAGAGCAGCCCAGGCCTTGGTTTAACTTCAGCTGTGGCTTTTTAGGCAGTTTGGGCATCTGTATCTTCAGAATGAACTACTGTCACCATTTCACTTGACATAAATCCTGCCCTGAAACATGCAGGCCCAATGGCCATAGATGCTCACTCCTTTGCAAGCCAAAGTAGTGTGATGTTGCAGGTCTACTGGATGGTAGAAAACAGCTCTTTTCTCTTGAAACTGCATGTCAGACAGGTAGTTTTATCTCCCTTGAGTATCACAGTGGAGATGGACAGTGTATGTGCCTGGATCCAAAGTGCAGAGGACAACCTTAACTACTGAGTCAATTCAGGCAGTTCTGTGTTGATGGCTGTGCCCCAGGTGTGTCTCAGGAACAGAATTTTGGTTGGTTCAAGGCAGGGATCCCCTCCTTTTACAAGGGTCCTCTAAACTCTGTTGTAATTCTGCCTCTAACCTTGCTGTGTGAGTGCCCACTCAGTCTTTTGGGCTCATTGAGCTGTTTTCTTCATGGTGAACCAAAGTCCTTCCTTCCTTTGCATTATCAGCAGACTTCCTTCTTCCCTGCCTGCTTCCAGTCACTTGAGGAAAGCTGAATGACACGAGTCCTTTCAACTCATGGAACTCCACAGGTGAGTTCTTACCTGGCTGTTCTCTCCTATCCTGTCTTTAAGTCATTAGTTATCCCACCCAGAACTTCCGTCTTATGGCTCTTAGAGTTCTTAAGTTATCCATAGTTATCCAGACATTCAATTTTATGGATGCTTAATGTCCTCAAGTTATCCATAGTTATCCATGCCCAATGTCCTCAAGTTATCTGTGGTTATCCCTACCCAAATCTTCCATCTTATGACTGCTCAGTGTCCTCAAGCCCTTTGGCAAATGGCATTGACTACATGAATTGGGTCATCCTTACCTATGTACCAGCTGATCTTTCCAAAAATCTCTCTCACAAAGCTTCCCTGAGCAGAAGCTGTTTCACGTCTCCTCAAGCAAATGCTCTTTGTATAGGTGTGCACTATTCTGACTTGTTTGGAGACCCTGACTTCAGAGTAACACACTTGGCTTGCATTTGTTTGGACAAGAGAGACATTCCTAGCAGAAATAGATCTTAGATGAGTGTGAGGAGACATGTGAGTGTATTTTGCAACTTGTGAACCTAATTGAGTCTAACTTGCTTTAACCAGAAAGAGAATTCTTGTAAGGGATGGGGAGAACTCGTGAGATGTGAGTCACTTTGTTCACGGGGTGAGTTTGGCTCTGATAATGTAACTGCAGGGTCTTGTTTTTAGAGCATTGCTGACCTTACTCCTTTGCTTCTCAGTCAGAATCCCAGAGGTGTTCAGCTCCCTCTCATAGTATTGCATCAGGATGTTTTTGAGCCAGTCTCGCATCCGCAGGGGGAACTGGTCCACTTCATAGTCAGTGCACTGGGGGATGTCTGTGCCCAACAAAAAAGCTTTGGTTAAAGAATCATCTGTGAGTCCTCACTGAAGCATTTCTGAGCCCAGTTGGATTTGATTCTATCAAGCTTCCAGTTAAACTTCAGATTGATGAGCTGCTACGATATTAAACTGGGAGTGCAACTAATGGGTTCAGGTAGAGGTGTATATATGGTGCTCAACCAGTTGGGCAAGCCACAACCTTCATGTGTCTGTGCAGCTTCTGAGCTCAGTTGGGCAGGGAAACTGCCACCAGTGAGTTGCAGGAAAGCAAAGGGATATGCTGGCTGGGAGGGCACTTTGCTCCCACTGTATGCAGCGACTGAAGAGCTTGGAAGTCAGTTCTGGTGCTTAGATCCTGACTTTATATTTGGGATCTAAGTAGGTTGTTGCATTGGGGGGGGGGGTTTAGTGGTGTTTTGTTTGTTTGTTTGTTGTTTTGGGGTTTTTCTTAGGTTTGGTTTTTTGCAGGGGGATTTGGCCTGGACATTTTTATTTATTAACTCTCTGTCAGTACTATTTTACTGGTCGATGTTTTAAAAAAGTCTTCAGAGGCTACAGCAATAGGAACATACAGGACAGTGCAGAGGGAAGATAAGGCTGACAACAAATTGCTGTAATCACAGGAGATCTTTAGGTTTCAGATGGATGGATGATCTCTAAGCTCCATTCCAACCCCCAAAATTATTCTATGAATTCTTCCGAGAAGAACAAGTCTTACATTTGCAGGAGCCCATGTAGTCCAGGTGCAGTTGGCGTCCCATTTTTGTCCCTTCCAGCTGGCATTTGGTGCCAAAGAGTTGACATGTGCCATCATAAGTCTTGTTATCTGTACCACAAACCTAGAGGAGGTGTGAAAAGTACAACCACACCAGCACCACCATGGTGCTGAGAGAAATTCTTGCCACTCATACAGGCATTGCAGAATTAAAAGCACCATTAAAAACTGGGGTAGCAATTGGGAATATCCCTAGGGAATACATGGACTGAAAACTGGAGTTGGTTTATGTCTGCATAAGGGTTAGTTGTCTGGACTAAGCCAGTTCTGAAACACTTGAATTTACTTTTGTGTGTTAGTAATACAGTTTGAGCTGCCACAGTTATCTCACTCAGTATGTGCCAGTAATCGGTAAATGCTCTAAAACATCAAATGGCTAAACAGAACTTCTAGTGACAGGGAAGAGCTACAACCTCTGAGAGACTTAGTGAAGCAAATCAGTTCCTGTGCAGCTCCATGTGTTCATGCTGCTCTCAAGCTATAGCCAGTGAGTTAGGGTACTTCTTACTTCTGCAGTCACTGAATCACTCAAACTCACTCACATCCTTTGTAGGCTAGAATTATTCTAAGTAATAGCAGGAGAATGTGTTACCTTGTAAAGTCTTTAGCTGTTTCTTCCCAGAATGAAATACTTACATGCTCATAGTCTTTGGTGGCAGGGCAAGCAGCAGGATCTTGGCAAACACAGTGAGGTTTCCCTTCCTTGTCCACGTGACAGACTTTGCCTCTTTTGCAGTGGAAGTTCCGACATGGGTCTAGGAGTCACAGGAAGAAGGAGGTGATTAGAGGTGTTAGAGGTGATCATGGAATTTTAGGGTTTGGAATGGACCTTAGAGATGATCCAGCCCCAACCCCTGCCCCGGGCAGGGACACCTCCCACCAGAGCAGGTTGCTCAAGGCTCAGCCAACCTGGCTGTGAACACTGCCAGGGTTGGGGCAGCCACAGCCTCCCTGGGCAACCTGGGACAGTGTCTCACCACCCTCACAGGGAAAACTTCTGCCTAAGATCTAACCTCAATTTCCCTCTCTCAATTTGTGCCCATCCTATCGTTGAAGTTCCTAATGAAGAGTCCCTCTCTGGCTCCCTTGTAGGTCCTTCAGATATAGCTCCTGAACTCTGAGGTCTCCACATAGTCTTCTTTTCTCCAGTGATGAGGTGAAGCCAAGTGTTTGTCAGATACTACTGACAGTCAAATCCAAATATTCACCAAGTCAAGTGCATTTTTAAGTTGGTTAAAATGCAACTGGATGTTGCATTGAATAAACTAAGCCAAAGTTTAAATGAGGAGTTTTGTGAGACTTCAAGCAGTCCCAGGTTTGAATGGATGGGGAAATCAGTTTTTCTGAGAAAATTATTTCTTCTCTAAGGACTTACATTCCCTTCCACTTTCCTTTGGTGAAACGCATCCCATCTGTCTCTGCTGAGCTCTGCCCTTTCTCCCGCTCTGAGCGGAATTCCAGCTGCTGTTGTGACCCTGCAAGCTCCCAGTGCCAGGTAATTCCCATTTCTGTAGAGCTGACACAGAATTTTGTGCACTGCCTACAAATGTTTCCGGCAAACAAATCACTAAATCCAAGGGTGGGTGGGAGGGATTCTCTGGGGATGTAGCTGCAGTGCAGGATTATGCACCACAGTCCAGTCATGTGGAATGGTGTGATGCAAAGGGCAGAAAGGAACTGCAGCCCAGCAGATTCCTCAGCTGCACAGGGTTAGCAGTTCCACGAGGCCTTTGCTTGGGGCTTACCCAGGAGAACCTTCTCATTCCT